AGATTTTCTGACATACCTGTTAGAAAATGAACCTTAAAGCTTTAAGGCAGCAATGACAGGTCCTGAAGCACCTTTGTGGAAAGAGGCTGTTAATAATGAAATTGAATCCATTATGCAAAATCATACTTGGGAATTGGTAGGTCTTCCACCTGGTTCTAAACCTCTTGGATATAAGTGGATATTCAAGAGAAAAATGAAAGCAGATGGTTCAATAGACAAGTATAAAGCAAGACTTGTAGTAAAAGGTTACAGATAAAAGGAAGGTTTAGACTATTTTAACACATATTCTCTTGTGACAAGAATAACATCCATCCGCATGCTTATTGTCATAGCAACGTTGTATAATCTAGAGATATATCAAATGGATGTCAAGACAGCTTTCTTAAATGGTGATCTAAATGAAGAGATCTATATGGAGCAACCCCAAGGGGTTGAAGTGCCAGGGCAAGAAAAGAAAGTTTGTCAACTTATAAAATCTCTTTATGAATTAAAACAAGCGCCTAAGCAATGGCATGAAAAATTTGATCATGCTATGCTTACTAATGGATTTAAGATAAACGAATATGACAAGTGCGTCTATATTAAAAACACTGATCAAGGATATGTCATATTTTGTCTTTATGTGGATGGCATGCTTATCATTGGAAGCAATCAAAACATAATCAAATCAACTAAGCAAATGCTAAACAAAAGATTTGATATGAAAGATATGGGGGTCGCAAGTGTAATATTAGGAATGAAAATTACTAAAACATCTGACGAATATGCATTATCTCAATCACATTATATTGAGAAAATTCTTGGTAAATTTATCAAGGATGATATGAATGTAGCTAGAACACCTATACACATCAGTCTTTATTTATCAAAAAATAAAGGTGATGCAGTGTCTCAGCTAACGTACTCCCAAATCATTGGAAGCCTAATGTACTTAATGAATTGTACTCGTCCGGATATAGCTTATGCTTTCAGTAAATTGAGTAGGTACACTAGTAACTCCGGAGAAAACCATTGGAAAGCGATCATTCAGGTTCTTAGATATCTAAGATTTACCCGTGATCGTGGTTTGAACTTTACACAATATCAAGCAGTACTCAAAGGTTATTGTGATGCCAATTGGATATCGAATACTAAAGATTCAAAATCTACTAGTAGATATGTCTTTGCTCTGGGAGGTGCTGCTATTTCTTGGAAATTCACGAAACAAACATGCATCGCACGATCCATAATGGAATCTAAGTTCATTGCTTTAGACAAAGCCAGAGAATAAGCAGAATGGATTCGTCACTTCTTAGAAGACATTCCAATGTGACCAAAACCTGTGCCAACTATTTGTATTCATTGTGATAGTCAATCTGCAATAGGCAGGGCACAGAATCATATGTATAATAGTAAGTCGCGATATATTCGTTGTCGATATAATACCGTAAGGCAATTGCTCTCAAATAGAATAATCTCAATAGATTATATAAAATCTAAAGAGAATATTACGGATCCATTAACAAAAGGTTTGACAAAAGAGTAAGTGTGTAGTTCATCAAAGGGGATAGGATTAAAGCCTATTACATAAAAGTCATCATAATAGTAACCCTACTTATATGACTAGAGATCCCAAGAACTAAGTTCAAAGGGACAACTAAGTTATGTGTGGCTCGTCAGAAATCACCAAGGGATTAAAATTCTCTACCCATTCCTATGGTGAGAGTGATATCTGCAACATATGTTGTATGCAGGGGTTTAAGGACAAGCTTTGATTTTAATGATTACTTATATCTTGATTTAGGCATAAAAATCAAGACAAGTATAAGGAGATACTCACAATAAGAATTATCTATATGAGTGTCAAACTGGGGCCAGTTCTAGAGGCTAAATTCTCTAGAAACACTCATGAACAACCAGGAGCGTTCAAGGCCAAAATGAATACAACTGTGAGAACCATGATGTGTTAGAAGATATTTTGTGTGAAATCTGTTGTCTTGGCTTATACAAACAGTTGAACAATTCAAGGCATCGCGTCCATTGGTTAGCTAGTAAGTCCGATAGATTATCATTAGGGAAAGTTTAAGGACAAAAGCTACCTATCCTGATGCAAGATATTTTCGATTTATACTCTTTCGACAAATTCTGCATATTATTGCATTTCCATTGTCATCAAATTCCATTCATGTGGGGGATTGTTAGAAATGGATATTGGAAGTTTTGGAAAAACAAAATTTTTCCTCAACTTTGGTCTAATTTTTAGGTGAGACCCATGCGCCGAATTTCGCGGGTTAAAGTGGTAATGCGTTATATGCCGCATTATGATTCACGTGATATATTTGGTTGCTCAAAACCATTATCAGGTGAATGAAAAATTGAAGCCAAAGTGAGCTCTATGGAAATGGAGTTTTTGGTAGAAATTTCTTAGGGTTTGAATAAAGGCTTGTCCCACATTGGTTTGGTAGGAAGAAATTTATGGGTTTATAAAGCTTGGGATTATAACTTGAGGAGGGCCCCAAGGGGCATCCCAAGTTTGTAGAAGGGAAAGGTTATGGGCAAATTGGGCTAGACCCATTAGATCCAAAAATAACTACACGCCATCGCCGTCCGGTTGGTCGGTCGGGCGGGCTAGGCTGGGGTGCAAGTGCGTGGTGTGAGGTTGGGTTGGACTTGTCCAGCCCAATACTTATCTTTTTGGGCCAAAAACATTTGAATTTATTTTTCTAAAATCAAATTCTAATTTTTTGAATTTGAATTTCGAAAATTAAATTCCGAAAATTAAATTCAAAATTGGCTCCGGTTTTTCCTTTCCCACTCGAACAGTTTCAGTTCAAGAAAACCCTTACATGTTGTAATTTAAATTCAAACAGATTTGTATCTGTTTAAATTTAAACCGAAGAGGTACCATACTTGTTGGATTCAAACCAAACAACCATCATTTTCCTATATAAATAGGCAGTCCCTCATTTAATGTTGTCACTCAATTTTCGTCCAAAATACTCTGCAATTATTCTCTACATTTTGCTGCATTATTTTCTTGTGAGAAAGTGTATAAATACAAGTATGTTCGTTGTGCAAATAATTTGTAGTGCTGCTATTGTTTGTTGTTGATTATTTTATCTTGGGAGATAGACGCCCGCAAATTTGAAAGCATCGTGGAAAGGACGAATCTGTCTTAAGGACACAGTGTTAAACACTGAACTTGATCAAAAGTTTGTTCAAGAAATTAATCAAATAAGTTGTTAATTTATTTTCTGTTTTATTATTATTTATTTAAATCATATTTTGATTTTATTTTTGTAACAAAATAAAAATTTGTTTTTATTTATTTATTTTTATTTATTGGTTTGATTTTTATAATCAAACAATCTCTCTCATTTCTTATATTTCTTTTGTATTATGTTTGTTATTTAGTACACAAACAGAATTTATTTCATTAAATACAGTGAAAATTGCCCAACAAGACATTGCTCGAGATTTTGATGTAGATTCCATCATAGATTTTTTTATGTAATGAAAGAACGTCGAGCACAACTTTAGATGCCTAAGTAGATATGTAAAGCAAATAGTTGCTTTTTTAAAAATTAATATGGATTTATTAGAACATATTCAATTGTATTTTGATAATATTTTGTAATTATATATGATGAATGGAAACATCTAATTATATATTTTTGTAATATTTGGGTAGAAATTAATATTGTATATCATATACTCATTATAAATTTTTTGATTGCATATACACTCCCTCCAATCACCTGCGTGGATTTAATGGACAAGTAAAAATCAAGTCAACAATAGGCAGAATGGTAAATGTCACTAGTCAAATATAATTAATAATTTAATAACTTTTACATATGCAAGGTATGTTAATTATGTAAGTATATGATAATAATATATCTCAATATTAACGTACTGTAATCGTTGCATTGAATTTTTATTTTTAACTTGTTTGCAAAGATCCTTCTAATCATCTCAAACCCTTTTGATTGCATCAACAACATTTTAGATATTTTTCTTTGATGAATCTGCTTTTAAAAATAAGTTATATATAAGATTTGTTTTAATTTGTATTAAAGTTAGTACTTCATCGAGTATGACATTAGTGCTGAGGGAGCAATGAGGGATTCTATTTACATTCAAAAAATTATTAAGTACTTTTAATTTTTCAGTATTCTCTATTCAATTATTTATAATTTTATGTTATTCTCATTATATTTTGTAATTTTTTTCAAATTCCCTTCAAGATATACCTAAATAAGAACAAAGTCATTAATTTGAACTTACAATGCCGAACAATATTGTTTGGTTAGGACTTTCATACCTGAACAAGTTGACTTTGTTCGGATTCGAAAGCCTGAACAGTAATAACGTTAAATAAGCTGAATATTCGTTTTTACATATAAAAAAAATTAAAAAAAACACAAAAATCAATACTTATATTTTGATATTTATGTGAATTCTTACATCCTCTTTGATGGGTTGTTTCAAAAAATAATTTTCATTATTATTCTTATCCATTATTTGATTTTATTAAAACTTTCTTCTATTCACAAAGATAAGAAACAATGATGTGATAATGGTGAGTTTTGGTTGGGTGGTTTGGAGTTTTGAAGTGAGAAAGAAAAAAAAGAAAAAACAATTGAAACCTGAAAAAGAAAGTGAAAAATAGGTATATGTGATTAGGATGTACCATATTTTAGAGTTTAATATGTGTTCTCTTTATTATAAATTTACATTAAAATATAATAAATTTTAAAATTTTAATTAAATATACTTAATGATTTTTTTGAGTCTAAATAAAATCTCCCGGGAGAGCAACCCGTCAACTGACTTCAATGAAATTGTTTGATCCAAAAGTTTAAGAATGGCCCATCAGTGTAAATCCATGCCGACTTGAGACAGATAATCGAGCTTTAGGGTTGCAAAAAAAGGGCTAGACAAATTTTAAATTTACCTATTCAAATGGACTTCCCACAAATACATGGGCCTAAACACAGACAAAATTTGTAATGCCTAAACACCTATTCTTAAAAGCTTTGATGATCCCACTTCCACATATAGACTTAAACAAAGCAACTTTAAGAAGGTAGGGAAGACACCTTGATGATCTAAACTGATCATATTTTAAGATTTATTGAGAATATCATTCTTATAAAAAATCATATTGATCGAACAACTATAGATACATTATCAAATTATGTTTGTCTTCAAAATAATGATTGATTCATGTTTAGAGTTACAATTGTCGTCCATTTTTTTTATTGGACGTGATCTAATTATGTGGTTATAATTGTTAAATCAATAAAAAAAAAATTGTAAGAAAAAAGTGAAAGTATGTACATAGCATTATTTTAAAATTTTATATGTGATAAATACTTTGAGAAATATCAATGCATAACCTCATTAATTTGACACTCAAACCTTCAAAATTTGGTATGTCAATATCTTTTAAAGGCTTGAATGACAAATTGGTACATGTCCAAGGGCAAAGGCAGTTTATGCCCGGGGGGGTTTTGATAATTATATTGGTACCCCTATATATATATATATATATATTATATATCTTTTATAAATTTATAGTAATATCCCTTTTTCAAATTATAATAGTTTCTCTACTGTAAATTTTATTTCTAACTACAATGTGATACAGGACCTGCTGCTGCTGCACCTACTGATAAATGAACTGCTGCTGCATCTACTGATAAGGCTATTGCTATGGTCGATGCAAGACAAGAAAGCAAAGATAGAACAGCTACACTCACAGCTTTCAACAGAGCAGTTTGAGCCAAGTCTGCAAAGCTTGCAAGTATAGGAAATTGTAAGCAGAGCATTAGAGTTGAGGGTTCATCACAAGGTCGTATGACCACTGTATGAAATTAAGTCTCTTTTTAACAAATTAACAAATTCAGTTTTAGTTAGTTAGATTGTTAGACATTTCGCTCTGTATATATTCGAACACTTGTAAAGGAATAGATAGATTTTGAAGATTCAGTTTTACTGTGAATAATATCAGTACATATTTTTCTCTCTCTAAAGTTCATCATGGTATCAGAGCGATTATAAGCTCTAACGAGCAACAATGGTGACCCTATCTGAAAGATCAATAATGGAGACTCAATCTGAAAAGTCTTCTTTGCCTTCTAATGTGCTGTTGCTTGTCTCAAATCTCAACTCTCTGATTACAGTGAAACTTGAAGCTACAAATGACTCCATTTGGAAAAATCAGATTCAGAATTTCTTTGAGGCTACCGAATTATTTGGATATCTTGATGGTTCTACATCATGTTCATCTCCAACAATTTCTAAGGAGAATGATCAATCTATCTCTAATCCAGAATTTCTGAAATGGAAGCTAATTGACTCTTGTCTTCTCAGTTGTATTATTGCAACTCTTACACCTTCCATCTTTGCTTCAGTACTTCACATCAAACGGTGTAAGGATTTGTGGTCTGCATTAGAGAAAAGATTCACCTCCCTGTCTCGATATCATATACATCAACTCAAGAACAAGTTGAGCACGGTTTCAAAGAAAACAAAATCTATGGAGGTCTATCTTCAAGAAATCAGAGATTTGGTTGAACAACTTGCTCTAGCCTCCTTACCAGTCTATGACGAAGATTTAATTCTTCTTGTTCTCAATGGCCTACCTGATGAGTACAATGCTTTTAAAACAACAATAAGAGCAAAAACAGAGTCTATCTCCATGGATGACTTGTGTGCCTTACTTTGTTCAGAAGCCAATCATGTTGAACACAATCATAAGCAAGGATCTTCTTCTGAGCTTAATGTGGTTTTTTCTGCTGCTACTGGTTCCTATCCTTTTTCTGGTGGATCTACTTTGTCGCCAAACTCATCTGGCACTTCTTCTAATCGAGGATATTCTTTCAATAACAGAGGAGGAAGATCTCAAGGCTTTCAATCCAGAGGTGGAAGATATTATAATAATAGAGGCAGAAGAGGGGGAAGGCCTCAGAGTTATGGTTTGATATGTCAGATATGTGGGAAAAACAATTATTCCACTTTGGAATGTAGACATCGCATAAATGCTTCCTTCCAACCTGTTTTTCCATCTTATACCCTAAGTTCTTCTTCTGCAAATTCTGCAAGTTCTTCTACCAATCTACGGGCTTTCTCAGCTCATACTTCCTTTCCTTCTCCTATGCCTTCATCATGTACATCTGTTACTGCACCTTGGTGTGTGGATTCGGCTACTACTTCTCATCTTACTCCTGATTTGGCCACTTTGCAGTACTATCAGCCTTATCAAGGTCAAGATCAGGTTATGATTAGAGATGGCAATACTCTTCCAATTCATAACACTGGCACTGGTATACTAGCTACTTCATCTTTTCAATTTAAGCTCAACAATATATATCATGTTCATCAATAACTTTTGATGATACATCCTTTATTGTTCAGGACAAACATACTCACAAGGTTCTCTGTAGAGGTCATCATGTCAATGGTCTCTATCAATTTCCTTCCTCTTTTTCTGCCATTCCTAAAGCTTTTTCTAGTACTAGTTCTCTTGCCACACTTTGGCATAGAAGACTAGGGCATCCTTCTTCTGCTAGCGTGAATAAAATGATTTCACAGTGTAATGTTTCTTTGTCTCACAAAGATTGTACTTCACTTTGTCATCAATGTTGTGTATCCAAAAGCCATAGGCTCCCATTTGTGCTATCTGCTAATAAATCTGCTGCACCAATTTCTTTAATTCATTCAGATGTATGGAGTCCTTTTACTCAATCTGCTTCAATTTATAAGTATTATGTTATCTTTGTTGATGATTTTAGCAATTTTACTTGGTTGTATCCTTTGTCTTACAAGAGTGAGGTCTACTCTAAGTTTCTAGAGTTTAAAGTCTATGCTCAGCTTCAATTCTATACCTCTCTTAAGATTTTGAGAACTGATGGTGGTGGAGAGTATACTAGTGGTCAATTTCAGAAATTTTTCACCACTTCAGGTATTGTTCATCAGATGAGTTGTCCTCATACTCCATCTCAGAATGGTGTGGCTGAAAGAAAACATCGCCACTTGATTGAGACAACTACATCACTTCTTGATCAGTCTTCCATACCACTCAAGTTTTGGCTTGAAGCTCTTGCCATTACTACCTATTTGATTAATAGAATGCCTAGTCCGAAGCTTGGTAATCTTAGTCCTTTTGAACTCTTGTTTCATAAGCCTCCTAACTATGCATTTCTTAGAGTCTTTGGTTGTAAGTGCTATCCTTGGCTTTGCCCTTATACTACCCACAAGTTACAACCTCGGTCTCATGAGTCTGTTTTCATTGGTTATCACTCAAGCTATAAAGGATACATGTGTCTCAATTTAGCTACTAGTGCTGTTCATATTTCAAGGCATGTTGTTTTTTATGAAACTTCATTTCCTTTTGCTACATCTAGTTCCTCCTTACCTCTCATTCTTTCTGCTAAACAAGCTGTAAAATCTTTTTTGGGGGGCTCTTCATCTGTGCCTCTTTCTTCTCCTATTAACAGCCCTTCTTCTTTGTCTTCTCATCATTCTTTATCTACTCCTGCTGCACCTGTTGCCGTATCTCCACCAGTTGTCTCTGGTTTAGTTTCTTCCCCAGCTGCTCCTGCTATACCTGTTTCTTTTATCCCTGCTGTTGCTGCTTCTGCAGCTCCTGTTTCCGTGTCTTCACCTCTAGCTATAAGTCTTTCCATTCCTATTCTTCCTCCTCCTTTGCCTCTTAACTCTCATCCTATGATCACTAGAGCTAAAGCTGCTCACATTGGTTTTTCTGCTTCTCTCCTCACTTCTGAACCTAAGTCTTACAAAGACGCTCTTTAAAGTTCTCATTGGTTTAAGTCCATGCTTGAAGAATTTCAAGCCCTTCAAGCTCAGCATACATGGACTCTTGTTCCTCCTTCTCATCAAAATGTTGTGGGTTGTAAATGGGTTTTTCGTATCAAAAAGAATTCCGATGGATCTATTGCTAGATACAAATCTCGCCTTGTTGCCAAAGGCTATCTTCAGGAGGCCGGTGTGGATTTTCTTGATACTTTTAGTCCTGCTGCCAAGCAGCCAACCATACGAGTGTTTCTGTGTATTGCTCTTCATTACAATTGGACCATTCAACAATTGGATGTCTCCAATGCCTTTTTGCATGGCACACTTGAAGAAGATGTTTATATGTCTCAACCTCCTGGCTTTGAGAGTTCTGCATTTCTTACTTTTGTTTGCAAATTACACAAAGCTCTTTATGGGTTGAAACAAGCTCCCTGAGCTTGGTTTTCTACCTTTTTCTAATTTCTTGCTCAAGCTTGGTTTTGTCAATAGTCTTTGTGATAACTCTTTGTTTGTTTAAGCCACTTCTTCATCTCTTACCTATCTTTTGGTCTATGTCGATGATATTCTTGTGACTGGAAATTCTTCTTCTCATATTCAAAGTCTGATTTCTCATATGCATTCAGTTTTTTTCTCTTAAAGAGCTTGGTAATCTTTCCTATTTTTTGGGTATCTCCGTTTCTTCCACCGCCTCTGGTTATTTCTTGTCTCAATCTCACTATGCTTCCTCTTTGCTTCACAAAGCTAAGATGCGTGATTGCAAGCCTGCTTCTTCTCCTATGTTAATTAAACCCTTTTCTCTTTCTTCTTCCTTTGAGGCTTTTGCTATTCCTTCTCTTTATCGCAGTTTGGTTGGCGATCTTCAGTATTTAACCATTACTTGGCCAGATTTGGCCTTTGTTGTCAATCTTGCGTGTCAGCATATGCAGTGCCCTTCTCAGCATGATTTTGCCTTGGTTAAACGCTTGCTTCAGTTTGTTAAAGGCACCTTGCATCATGGACTGTCTTTTTCATCCAGTCCTTTTGATGTTCATGCTTTTTCAGATGCTGATTGGGCTGGTGATCCTTGTGATAGGAAGTCTACTTCTAGTTTTTCCTTTTTCTGCGCTCTAATTTGGTTTCTTGGACAGCCAAAAAGCAACCCAATGTGGCTCGATCCTCCACTGAAACTGAGTACCGGTCCATGGCTCAGGCTAGTGCTGAGGTTGCTTGGCTTCAGATGCTTCTTTCTGACTTGCATATTTCCTCTTCCTCTGTTCCCATCTTATGGACTGATAACTTGTCTACTTTATCTCTGGCCTCTAATCCTGTCTTCCATGCCCGAACCAAGCATATTGAACTCAATTATCACTTTGTTCGGGAGAAAGTTTCTGCTAAACAACTGCTTCCTCGTCATGTTGCTTCTTCCGACCAAGTGACTGATATCTTCACCAAGTCTTTACCAGTTTCTCGGTTTCTTTTTCTTCAATCCAAGCTTCTCGTTGGTCTCCCTCATTTCAGCTTGCGGGGGGCTGATACAGGACCTGCTGCTGCTTCACCTACTGATAAAGGAACTGATGCTACATCTATTGATAAGGCTACTGCTATGGTTGATGCAAGTCAAGAAAGCAAAGATAGAACAGCTACACTCACAGCTATCAACAGAGCAGTTGGAGCCAAGTCTGCAAAGCTTGCAAGTATAGGAAATTGTAAGCAGAGCATTAGAGCTGAGGGTTCATCACAAGGTCGTATAACCACTGTATGCAATTAAGTCTCTTTGTAACAAATTAACAAATTCAGTTTTAGTTAGTTAGATTGTTAGACACTTCGCTTTGTATATATTCGAACACTTGTAAAGGAATAGATAGATTTTGAAGATACAGTTTTAC